CACACGCAATTCCCGAACAAGCAGATTTTCACTCGAAAATAATTATGATTTTACTTGTGTGCGGAAAATTGGCATTTTCCCTCGCTGGGTCTGTGTGCTGCCGCGAGCGAGACGTCTTAGGCCACCGTAAAGGCAAATAGTAAACGTGGGTAATTATTTTTAGCATGGGCCAATGCCTATTTTTACTTGATTCATCATCTCGTCTGTGAATTATTGTAATGTTTGGATGAGGTGGAAATCGCAATTAACCACTAATTTTCAACACCCAAAATCAGCAACCATAATTTGCGATATGAAGTGTTATTTACACAAAATTGATTTTGATCGAAGACATCGTGTCGCTTGGGACTTTTCTCTGCTCCTTTCTGCGTTTCTAGGAATTGTGTTCATTGGAGAAATTTGTGTAACAATCTCTAGAATTTTATTCAAATGATTTCACCTAATTCCCAAGCTCCTTCGGTTCATCCTCGAATGCTGGGAATTGTCGTGTATTTTCTTCGCGCGGACTTTGTATGAGAGAAAAATGATGAATATGAAAATAGACACATGACTTATTTAATGTGTGATGGAAAAGGCTCAGCGAGTGAGTTACGCGAATGAACAGCTGATCGATGGAGTACAGAGTGTGTCTATTTAAATGAATATTATTTCATTGTGTATCCCAAAGGGGACTCGCTACAGCACACCAAGACACGAGATTGAACTCGAAATAGCCTCAAGAGTTCATTATTTTGGCTATGTGTGATGAGTGAAATGATGTCGACAGTGTTCTGGGGAAATTCCTCCAAAACACGAAACACGATATAGTATTACCAATTTTCTCACAACATTCCTGCTGCGCAAACATAGTGAAGAATTTATTGTCTGAATTATAGATATGAAAATTTCACGGTGAAAGTGGATTTTCCATGTCTTTCCCAAAAATAGAAGGTCCCGAAAGGCAGCCACAGAGCATTTACCGAACTGAGGAGAGACTTTGTCAGAGGAAAATGTCCTGAGAGGCGGAGAGAAATGCCTAAAATGCCTCAAGTACGTGGTGTGAGAGAATATTTTCCTCAGTATAAATAGGAATGGTTCGGTGGCTTGAGCGGGTAGTGAAAAAGAACTCACGTCTCATGCTGAAGTGGAATTTCCGTACCATAATTCCCGAGTGGAACATAGTGCTAAATTTGAGCTTGTGTGTGTCAGATGATGAAGATGCAGCGGCAACATAATTTATGAGATATTGTGCGATCCAATTGGTAGCATTTATGTCACATTCCGGGCAGGTTGCGCTTGACAGGTTGCATCTCCCATATCCAAATGAATAGGCTATCCCGAAATAGCTGGCAAGTGACGTTAATCATTTGAGAATTCCACTCAGATAAATCATCGCAATTTTTTCTCGCACACTCGTGTAGAAAATAATGCTTCAAATGTTTACCTAAGAACGCCAATACGACGTCAGATATTCTTTTTCTGTTCAACTCCCTCCACAGCCATCGGCACCACCCCCCGAAAGCTCATCTTCTTGGCATGAAACGTCAAACATTGGTCATTCGTTGTTGGCTATTTTTAAGGAAAAACAACATACCATCACTTTTATTACACTTGTACGTAGAAATTCGCCACGTCGTCAGCAATAGTTGTGCTTCGGCACTGTGTGTTGCTCTCTCCTGTTTGGGATGAATGCCGCAAAAAAGGCCATTTCGAAGACAGCCGAGATAAAGTATTTGGCTGATATAAACATCAGCGAACCACATTCACAATCCGAAATCCTGACTCTGGCGCGATGAGCTGTTCTGGTTTAATTTTAGGCTCTAACATTCTATTTGTGCCACCGTGACATCGTAAATACTGGTGAGATTTTGAGTAATGACACAACAACAAAAAGAACTCCTCCCGTTGATACACAAAACGTGGAGGATAAGGAAGAACATTGCCGTGGGGAAATTGCCATTTTTCACATCCCTTCACATTACTAATCCCACTACATCGCTAAACTGTGGCGTTTCTGAGGAATTGCAACGTCTTACGGCTTATGCAATGAAGAACTGCTGAAGCCTTACGATGTGTTCTGCAGGAAAATAGGGAATAATAGACTAATGATTTGAGCTGAAAGAGGAAATTGTTCTGTCTTAAAGTAGCAGCTCAAATTTGTCATATCTTTCGTGCACTTTGCACATCACATATTGTCACAGATTATTCTCAATATTGCCCATAAATTGGCCTTTTTGGAAACAGATGTGACTCTCTTGACATAATTCTCCGTGATAGTGATCAGTGCTGATGGATTTACAGTCAGTGAATTTTCTGTTGATTCCAAAGATCGCGCCATAAATTCCGCTATCTGATGGTGGAGACATAGGGGCGCATCGCGGCGTCTTTCCCCGCGGGAAAACTCCACAGGTGATAAATCAATTGGAAAATTGATCTTTTTGCGTCTCAGCGAAATTGGAGATGAATTTGATTCCCTCCCAGCGACCTTCTGGATGTCCCCTCCTCATTGAGATGTCCAAATAATATGTGGGATTCATCGCTCCCGCCCCCCTGCCGCCCCACCGCCCCGCGTCAGCGGCGGCCGGCGGCGCTGTAATATGGAAATGATAGCCGATGGGAAGTGTAAAAGGCGCGTGCCGAGCGGCGTGACGTCATTGGATGCTGCGCGCGGTCCAGAGAGGAGCACGGCTGGGGCGGCGGCAGCGCTCCCCACCAGCGGGACGCTGCGGGGTGAGACTTCCTGGTTTTTCGCGCGAAAAGGCTCAGCGCGTCCTGCGGCCTTCCCCGGCTGCACTGCGTGGCATCAATGGGGACGCCGAGTGGCTCCGTCGCGCCACAATGGGCTCCCACCCCGCGCCGTGGAGCGTGGTGGGGAGCGCCCGAGCGTGAGTACTCAGTGGCCCAGTGCTCATCCCCACCAGCGCGTGTGCTCCATTGGTGCTCGCCCATCTCCCGGCGGTGAGGCGCGTTCTCCGGCTTCGCTCGAGCGATTCCCCCCACAGTGCATTCATGGAGCGCTCTCCGACAGTTCATTCATAAAACCAATTGTACCGTCGGCTCGCGGCTCAGTAGTGTTCGGACTATCGCTTCGGACGCAACATCACGGCGAGTCGGGAAATCGATTTTACCACCACACAACTCACAGAGAGAGAGAGTGTGTTAGGAATCAATCCACCGAGCAAAGTGATTCTCCGGTTCATTCGTGAATTCTGTGCACAATCCACCGAGTGAGGGTGATTTTTCTTCTGGATCCGCCAGAGCATCTCGCGGAGAGGACAGAGTGTCATTAGCGTGGGTGACTGAGAACGCGTTCGCGAGCACCGTCGCTACTGGTGGCTCGTGACTCCTTGTGGGCATCGGCAATCTGTGCGAAGAGGCAAAAAATCCCACAAATAATATTTTGCTAATAGGCGCACGAGATAAGGCTGCGTGGGTGAAGTTTATACACAAAATAGAGAGAGAGAGAGGGAGAAAGAGTTCACAACACTTGAAGAAAACTCCTCAAGTGTTGCTGCGTGGTGAACAAGTGTTTTGGTGATCGCACTCTTGGCTCAACTCAAAATCCAGGTACATCATCTGATGGCGATTGTAATTGTTCCAAATATCTGTGCCCTGCCCCAAAGTGTCTCCCCCACCCCACCCCATCGCACTATTGTTGTTGGTTTTTCGGCAAAGTTCCCAATGAGCAAAGGCCGCGTTGTCGTAAATTAATTTATTTTATTTTTCCGCTGTGTGTGCTAATAATGATTTCCTCAAATGGCAATGCATCAGTGGGCGTCTCTTAGCAGGATTTCTTTAATACATTCCCCAACAATAATACGCTAAATTTTCTCATCGTTTCGAAATAAACAAGAGTGATTCGTGGCGGTGTCTCTTTTTTGCGCTTTTCTCGGACATTTTTGACGAAAAAGGAGCTGTGAGTGCTTTTGTGCGCTTTTTTTTTCTCTGCCCTCTTCTCGCCATGAAACTTCTTTTTCTCTCCCAACAATTCGGGTGTGTTAATTTATTTGTCCAATTTAGAGACACTCATTTTTTATTATTCCTCATCACTTTGACATCACTGGAGTCTCTCGCGTATATTACAATATTCATAATTTCCTTTTTCGTCAAAACTGATTGTGCGTCGCTTTTTTTCTCTCTGGTGTCTCTCAATGGCGTTGAAACGCTTCTTTCACTCCGTGCAGCTGAAATGTGATAAAAATAGTGACGCAGTGACGACAATTGTACATATTACATCTGTACGCACGCCGAGGGACGCGCGCGATAATTTACATGGCGCGAAAGCCCGTCCTGACGCCATGGGGTTGGGGGAGGGCGATTACGAGGCATCTAAAGACCCAGATAATAGCACCCAGTGTCTGGTCAATATTTTATCACATCGAGAATAGTTGATTGTCGCTCGCTATTGCGTCACGCGTATCGATTTTGGCCTCTCCCCAACGTCGCGGTGACACCCGCCCGACCATCTCACGATACCGTCGGCATTTCGTGTGCCACAGGCAGCAGCGCGGTGGTCGGCCAACCTGTTGATATCACGTACACAAGGTGGATTCTCACTCTTGAACTTGGTGCGCTCCGTGGCGTCTCAATTGACGCGAACTGTGTTGGAGTGTCTGTGCAATCGCATAGACAAATATTAGCCATGAGGGCATCCATACTAAATGCATCACAAAGAAGTGCTAATTGGCGCTAAAGAGCGTTTAAGTTGCGATGGGATGCGGCATCAATAGCGTCTCCGTTCGCCCATAAGTGGGTTCTGTTTTTAGCAACAAGTCCTAACACTGACACAATTTTCATTAAACGCTGCCTTCTTAATTTGATAATGAATTATTAGATTCACATGACCCATATATTGGTGAATAAAACAAGTAGATTTTATTGGTAAAGTCAGTCGTGTCAATTGTTTGACCGCATCACAATTACAATTAATAAATTGTCATCTCACTGTGTTGTTGGCATATCATGGGGATTGAGAGGAGCATCTGGTATTTAACGCTCTGTCCGCTGGTGGCTACTTGTAGGTGGCGTTGCCCCTGGACCACCTGCCACGGCCATGATCATGGAAGGGTTGGAAACCCTCGTTGCGCCATCGCATCACGCATTCCTGCTCACTGAATCCGCTGCCGCGGCCCATTTCAACGTGCTCAGCTTCGACACTTGCCTGTTCAAGTCGGCCACCACCACATCGTCCAGCATCAGCAGCCACACGAGCAGCCCGGCCAATCATCACGGCACGGCCACCAGCAACACAATCACCAGCTGCGGCAACGGGCCCAGTGGCAATCTCAACAACAACACCCTCAGTATCAACCACAATCTCAGCGCCGCCAACCAGCAGCAGCAGCAGTCGCCCCACCAGGAAGCGCAGCAACAGCAACAGCAGCAGCAGCAGCAGAGCTCGGGTGGCGGAGGGCATCCCCACTTGAGCCTCCTCACCGCGCCCGGAGCCACCGGCTCTGTGGGTGCTGAGGCGCCGTCCGTCGCCGAGGACGTCCAGGTCGTCTCGGAGTCGCAGCAGGGCGATCTCAACACACCCGTCACCACATCTGGTGACATCCCGTCGTTCTTCGGACCCGCCACTGTCGTCGAACCACCGCCAATTACCGGTGAGTCCCCATTTTCTTTGCTCTTTTCACTTCGCGAGCCCTGCATCGAAAATTATAAGATCTCCACCAGCGATTTTAGCGATATTTTTCCATTGGCTGAGTCGCCCTTGCATGGGAAAATGGGAACATGATGACTCGCCCAGCTACAAAGAGTAATTTATCGAAAATTGAGGAAGCGAGAGCAAATAAATAAAGCAAATGATGCAAGTTGTAAGATATCCCATTCTTCCTTATATCTTGCAATTCTCGCAAGGCTAAGAGGATATCAGTCGCACAATAAGAGAGTCAACAGTGAAACTTTCCTCGAAACATTTCTGCTTTCTCCTCTGAAGACGAAAGTACTGAAAATGCACGCGCATCTAGCAGGATTGATAGTATTTGCAGTGGTGGAAAGATTGGAAACTTTCAATCCTTTCACAGTCAAGCAATTGCTACTTTAATTGGCAGCGGCAACTATGCAAAACTTTGAACAATATAGTGGCATGTGCCTCAATTTCTGGCAGATTTATTGGATCTAATATAGAGAGGGTAGAATAAAATGAAAAATTGGCAACTATTAAATTAAAAGTTCTTCTCCAATCCAGCAAGAAGACAATTTGTGTGGGATTTTGAGCATTTGATATTGTCGCTCCAATTGTTGGAGTTGCGTTGCTCCTTTTGTGCACTTTTGGGCCACAATATTTGGCAATTCGCGAGCAGAGATACATCATGCGACACAATTAATCTCCCGGCCATTCTTCTGCCTTATTAAATACCCCGATATTATTATTGTTCCAAATTCCCAATGAGAAATTTGCTGAGCTGAGAGGAATGGGATAAGGCCATTTGATGGCTCGCCTGTGTGTGTGTGTCTTGGCGATAGCGGATTTTTTCCGGCGTACAGAGAGCGGCAGAAAGATGGAGAGTACACGATGGGGAAATGGGAGAAAATAGCAATTAGCATTGTACACAAGAATAACACGCGGCAGTAGAAGTATAAAAGGTAAATGACTCGTTAACATGGAGCCAAAATCAGTAAATCAGAAGCTGAGTTCATCATTCCTTCGTGTCTTTTTCAAGGTCTCTCGGCATATAGATACCGAGACACCCCCGCAGTGTCTCAATTCATGATGGCAGCCGAGGATGGAAACGCCGGTGGATGCCTCAATTGCCAGCCGGTTGCTACGCACGCGGCTGAGAGGCACAGAGTCCTTGCCCATATATATTTATCCTGCTTTCGCCCCGCGTGGCTCGACCTAAGGCACGACGCCGATCGAGAAGGAGCCTTCTAAGCTCTTAGGGAAGCGCCCACTTCGCACCCAAAAGGGCCAATTGAAGCGAGAGGCCACGCGAGTCCTTTTCACGTCGATGCTTGTTGTGTCAATTTTCGGGGGTGTGTCGATGAAGGAAGCGCCAAAAAAGAGTGTTTTGCCTGTCGCAGCATTGAATGTCCACAGTGGACTTGTGGCGAATGCTGCGGCACTCCCGCTGGGGCCAGAGATGCAGCACACAAAGGAGTGTTTTGGCTCAGAGAGAGAATAAAAGTCACACTTTGCTTCTTAGAAATCGCGTATTGCTGATAGTGCTTTATCGCGCTAGGAATTCCACTTATTCCTCACCCAGACTTTATCTCGACGATATCAATTCAGCAATTGAAAAATACATAATAACAATAGTGCACAACGGCTTCCGCTCCAGCCGAAAGTTTAGTGTGTGCTGGCAAATAGCGCACAATTCACATATATATATATATACACTGGTCGCGCAGTTGATATTTGTATAAACAGAAAAACAAATTATGGTCAGCGCTGTGCTGAAGAAGTGGCAGCAAAAAAAGCGTTGTCTGTGGAAGAAATCAAAATAAACAGAAATCTTTCTTCATGCCTCTCGCCCGTCTATTAGCTCCTCGTCATCCAGTGTCAGTTGGCGAGGAGGAGAACCGGCACACCAACGTGGAGAGTGAGAGAGACTATATAATATTGGAGGTTCAAAATGTGAAATGGAATTTATCGCGTTGTCAACGAGTCAATTCAATTATACATTGAATATTTCTAGCATATGCAGAAATGATAATTACACCACTTAAGATTTAGTTACTGTTTCTCACTCTCGCCATGCCATGGAGACTTTAATTTACGATGCAGGGCGAGGCTGGGACTGGCGGGGACGTGCCTCGCGAGTGGCCGATGATAAGGAGCTGGGTTGGAAATGAGTAATTCGGAGGCATAGCGCGCGCTCACACTGTTGGCCCCACAGTCTGTTATGGGTGTTTTTGGTCTTGGTGTCGTTGCAGGTTCCATTGAGTCCGAAGACTTGTCACTGGAGCCACAGAGCACGTCCAGTCCGTGTGGCAGCCTGTGCAGTCCGCTGAAGGAGGAGCGCAGCAGCCCGTCGTCGATCATCAAGGAGGAGACAAGTAATACCAGTAGTGCTACCATGTATCCCCATCATCATCACCATCAGAACCATCAAAATGCAGCACAACAACAACACCACCATGCACACCACCAGCAACACAATAGCCACGATACACAACAACACAACACGCTAAACAATCAACCACATCAACACAACAGTCACCACCAACATCACAGCCACCACACCACACAGCATCAATCTCCGTCATCTGCATCGACTCCAAATACGTCCGCCCACCATCAACACCACAACCACCACCAAAATCCGCAGTCCGCGGGCAAAATTTCATACCGTGGCATTTTCACAGCTACCGGCAGCCCGGGCATGGGCCTCACCACCGCCCAGCTGGGGTCGCCGCAGCTCGCCGTGATGCCGGGCCAGATGTCGCCCCCGTCCGCCGGCCTGGGCAGCTGGGGCCTCCCGAGCCCCGACAAGACCCTCTTTCAGCCGCCCATGTTCAGCCTGCTGGGCCCTGGGCCGCAGTCCGGCAACACGGGCCAGACCCACTACGCCAACCCGGCGACCACCCAGAGCCCCTCGCCCCACCATCACGCCTACGGCGGCGAGGAGCGCCCCCACCAGCACGTGGAGCTCCTGGGGCTCAACATGGACTGCTCGGGCATCATCCTGAAGCAGCCGCCGAACTACAGCAGCTGCGTGCCAACGTCCCTCTCCTCGCTGGACATCCAGAGCTCCGCCGGGGACATGCATCAGTATTCGCGCGGCCAGGGCTTGGGTGTGTCCACGCCCAAGTACCAGTGGCTCGACTCGCCGGTGGAGTACGGCAGTCCGCAGCAGTCGCTCGTGGGGCCCGGGCCCTCTTCCTCCTCGTCGTCAGTATTGATACCCAAGCAGGAGGCCTTCGTCTCCACCAACACCTGCTCCAGCGACTCCAGCCAGCAGCACCAGCAGATGCAGCAGCAATCCCAGTCCGCGTATCCAGTGCAGCTGGCGGAGTACAATCCGTCGACGAGCAAGGGACACGAGATCCTGTCGCAGGTCTACCAGCAGAGCCCCATTCCGCTCAAGCTGGTGCCGGTGAAGCCGCGCAAATACCCCAATAGGCCCAGCAAGACGCCAGTGCACGAGCGCCCGTACGCGTGTCCCGTGGAGAACTGCGATCGCCGCTTCTCGCGATCGGACGAACTCACCCGCCACATTCGCATCCACACCGGCCAGAAGCCCTTCCAGTGTCGCATCTGCATGCGATCGTTCTCGCGATCGGACCACCTCACCACGCACATCCGCACGCACACGGGCGAGAAGCCCTTCTCGTGCGACGTGTGCGGGCGCAAGTTTGCGCGGTCGGACGAGAAGAAGCGCCATGCCAAAGTCCACCTGAAGCAGCGCATCAAGAAGGAGAGCAAGATGCAGCAGAGCCAGTCCAGCGCAGCTCCACCGTCCGTGGTGGCGCCCAACAGCCACCATCACCACCCGCCGCCGCAGCACACGGCGCACCACATGCTCCACGACGACATGATCCCGATCATTGCGACATCCTCCACGTCAGCCTTGTAGGCCGATGCATCATCGATCGATAGCATGCGAATCACGGATGACACAGTCACGGCACAGCACCTGTTATACGCTGAGGACGTCGGCGGGGACGCTGAGGATCACGACCTCGATCTCAGTGACTTCAGCGTCGTGGATCCGCACACGCTGGATCTGGTGAGTGACGATCCCTTTTCACTCGCCCCGCTGCCCGCGATCGCGCCCGCGGACGAGCAGCCGCTGGTGATCCTCTTCTTCCTGCAATAATGGCAGCACAGAGTCTAACCATTGCACAAAAAGCAACATACTGAATGTGGTGTTTCCCCCCCAGAAAAAAACCAAGATCGATGGAAATCTATGTTGTGTCAATGTGTTCTAAAAAAGAGAAAAAAATGGTAAAAATACGCAAGATGTTAGTATAAACTACATATTGGAAAAAATGAAAATGTGATTGGTGGAAATCTGTTTTTCGCGTGATATTGATCGATGATCGATCAACACTCTAAATTTGAATTATGATTAGATAAAGAGAATAAATTTAAAAAAAACGACATTAAATTATAGCTGATTACGTAATATAATAGATGTTTTATCTCAACTACTGTGATCTCAAATAATAGACTTTAATTTAAAATATTAAAAGTGTAAATAATGAGTTGATTCATTAAAGAAAAACACAACAACATAGTTGTGATCTCTTGTAAAGAGATTATATTTCTGGAAAATACACACAAAGAGTTCACAATTTGGTCTTGTATTGTTAATCGGTGTATTTTGATTTTACTTTTTTCATTTCACACAGTGGAATTTATTGACAAACGACGTTCATAATTATGATGTGCAATCTTTTCCCAATTTTTCTCTATTTTCTATGAGATCAGCTGAAATATTTTATTCAAATGATCGAGTTGCAAAATATCACATTTCGTTGGGAGTATTTTTGAATCATTATAATCAACTGGATTTGCAACTGAAGATTTTTGCCATAATGACATGAAAAGGCCTACATTTTCTATGAGAATTTCTGTCTCTTTTCAACATTAATCTCATCTCTCGCCTGACTATCGTCTCTAGATAGATCAATTTCCAAAATTGAATAGAATGTACATTTTAGGCCATATTAGATAATACTTATTTAATTTTGAAGATGTTATTAATCTGTGTAATTTAACATGATATAAATATTCTAATGTAGAGATAAAAAAACAAGAATACAGAGAGATGTAAAGAAAGAGGAAAAAAAGATGAAAAAACTAATATTGAATTAAAATACACAAAATTAACAATGGCTTTAATTAATATTAGAATAAAAAAAAACAAGATGATCGTGAATTGTTCAAATATTCATCAAGCCAGAAAAAAATCGTTTGAACGCTCAGAAGATCTTAGAGACAAATTGCCAAAAACACAGTCTAGATCAGTATCATCAAGTGACAATTTTGACGAGACCGTTTCTGAAAACCGTTTCACACCCCCAAAAAAAAAGAAATATTAATGGAAAAAAACACATAAAAATGAAAAAAATAATATGTAGAAGTATATAACATAAAACATGTAACCTCAGTCTTTTACATTCCATTATAATAAAAAGAAAAAAAATGAAGTTGTGTATAAAATCTCAATCTCTTATTATTAGTTATGGATATACAAAAAAAACATATTCAATGAAAACAATTCTCTTCAGTTTCTTTGTCGTGCATTAAAATTGCAAATAAACAGGTTATTAATGGCCTTAAAAATTCAGTGCAAAACTTAAAGAAAAAAAATCGTATTACAAAAAAGTGCCCTCAATTTTCATAATTTTTCCAAAAATAAAAGTCACACTCCTTTTAGATACACTTGAAGTATGATTATTCTTTTTGTACAAAAGAAAAATTATATATTCACGTAAGAGTTGGAATGGAAATACATCTCTGAACAAAAAAAAAGAATCAATTGAATTTATTATCAATTGCATAATGTAAATATTTGTGGTGACGATTAAAATTTTATTAACTTACCGTGTTGATGAAACTTTCATCTTTTTTAAATATTCGACAAATCGGCCTACATATTGTATTTCAAATTATTAAATGATATATTGTACTAAACAAACAAGGTGAAATATTGAATGTAAATTGTATAACATTACTAAATGGTGTTTCATGAAGATAAATAAAAAAAAAGTTCATTCAGTGGTAAATATGAGGGCATTGTTTATCATCTCTATGGAAAAAAAAGAAAACATTTCGCAGCTAAACGTAAAGTGTGAGGTAAAAAACAAATATATGTAAAAGCTGTAACGAAAGAAGAATATTAGTTCCAAATGTGAAAAATGAAATATTTTTAATTTCATTGCCATAAATGATTGAATTCAAAAGAGGATAAAATAATTGTGCCATTCATTTTTTGAATTTACAACTTCTATACACGTTCATCTTTCAGCGTACACGAAAAAATTTATATATTTAAAAAGTAAAGTAATATTTCTGTAAAAAAAAATGAGAACAGGATGTTTAATTATTATAATCATTGTAAAAGGAATTATTGTATAATTAAAATTACAATTATACCTACACATTAATTAAATTTAATAATGACATAACAATCAAAATATTGCAAGTAAAATAAATTATAATGTTGATACTAAATACTGCTTTTTTTACTGGATTTCTTTCTGGGTGTTTTTTTTTATTTCTCAACGGCGGAAAGTCTTGTAATTCGAGTAAATATCATTAAAAGGTGATTTTAGGAAAATATATTGTCCTACATTCTCGTGTGTAATTTATGGCGCTCCGAAACAACAGTGGCTCTTTATGGATGAGCATCAAGAGAAATTGAGTATCGATGACACTCTGCAAAGAAATCGTGACGAGAGAAACAATATAAAGAAGACTTGAGTTCTTGAAAAAGTTGAAATTGATGAAAAATTGAAATTTTATATGATTTCTGGTTGAACTTATCCCACTAAAAGCATCACTGCGCGCCGTCCAGGTAAGTGAATTGATGTTCCAAGGGTGTGTCTCCTCCGCATCCTTCTTGTGCATCTTTTTTTTGAGACAGTGAATTGTGTACAAAGTACATAAAATCTCCAAATCTGTCATTTATATAGCAATTCATTCTTCGTTGGCCACTCCAAGTGCCTCGCCTTGTTTTTTCATTCATGTTTATAACCATCTCATCTCATAACTTTTTCACCTCTGGTATAGGCATTTTTTTCTCCCCAGTTGGCTTTATCAATTTAAACCTTTTTACTTTAACTCTCCAATGTTTAGCTGTCGCCAAGAGATCGTAAATCATGCGAAGAATGATCCTGGAATATTGATTTTAATACACAACCTCGCGGCACTTCTCTCGCCAGCCTCTCGAGTGACCAACTTGAGTGATCTAATGCTGAAGAGTGTCGTGATATAAATTTAATTAGCATTTTTCCCCTAAATTCCAACGGAATTCATCACATTTCATTCTCACTTCACGAGTGACTCTCAATGTGGATAAAAGTAAAGAGCTTTCCAGCGAGATCAACGACAAGATCAACGCAGAGACATTCTCTTCTCGTGGATGATGCTGCTTATTTCCGGTCGTTTATTATTTTCGAATTCAGACGCGTGCTCAATGGGAAGAGGTATCGCGAGAGGAACACCTTAACCCACCTAGCGTGCTCTTCCTCTGTCCCTCTCCATCCCACATCCACGGCCAGAGTCTTCAGTGGTGTCGTCGTCAAATGGCAGAAAGTGTTCACTGCTGAGCAGAAAGTCAACTCTCAGAACTTTATATGGCGTAAAAATAGATAAAAATAGCAATGTCTTTAAGGTAAACTATCTCTTAATTTGTCTTAAAAGTAAATTTGCAAATTACTTTCATCTCTACTCTTCACTCTCAATGATCTCAACGGTGTCTTAACGCCGTGCCTGCACTCGAACACCTTCGCTTAATGCGAATTTGACGGTGTGCAGAACTATTCACATATTATCTCTCGGCAATTTTTTTCTGTATACATATATTTGACTCTCAGATTTTTTTCTTTCTTCTTTTTATTAATTTCACTACATGGTATTGTCGTTTTATTGGAGTCATATATATGTTAAATTTATACACACCAAGTGGAATATGTGAAAAAAATGAACATTATTTTTATTTTACGATACTCCTCAATGTCTTTTTTCACCACTCATCTTGGGCTTTTTATGTTCAGTGTACTTTATTATTGGTCCGGTGGACACTTAAGCACGAACATGCAGCTCTCCGAGAAGCTGCGATGGAAGTACCTTCAGCGAATTTGCATTTCATTTGATGTGACGTTATGATAAAATGCAAATAAATTAGAGATATATATTCAATTTTGCGCTGCCGTTGCATTTGTATTATTGACTGAGTGTTCAATAAAGCATATTTCGCCCAGGCACACGTGTATAATCCAAATTCACAGACACCTGAGCTGTGCTGTCACAATTCTGTTGCGGAAAGCTCAGTGGACGAACAGAAATATCCATGGCGATCAATGACTTCTAATAATTTTGTTGAGTTAATTAGTCCACTATTTTCTCTCCACATCACGCCATCCACGAATAATTAAATGAGTGATCTTCGGTGATTTTCATACAACAATATCATGTTATGGTTGACGAGAAGAGGCGATCGTCTTCGCTATTAGAGAGCTTCTCCTCATGCGGAGTTCTCCTCATTACTATTCATTGATTAAATTTAAATGAATCCCGGTGCCCGCCACGTGTGTGTGTGTGTGTGTGTGTGTGTTGAACTGCTCAACGGTGGTGCTCAATGAAATTCCAAATTTAATCCTTCGTGTTGGATTTGCCCCTCGCAGCATTGGGGGATCTCATGAGTGCAGACACCACCGGAGAACCGGATAAGTGAATTTCATTAATGAACTTGTATACAAGGCGTTTTTGTCCAACCTGTGCTTATTTTAATTTTGAGACAGTCCCAGAGATAGAAGACATCGCTTTCGTGTCGATCGGCCACGGCGAGAGCGCGCACTGCGACTGAGGAGATCCAGCCATTAAGCGCGTCAATCTGCAATGAAGGAAATTCGTGTTAATGAGAACTGATTGCCGTGGATTTGTGCCTTCAATCTCGGATGACTTTATTTGCCGTTTCTGGCTACTTCGCGCGAAGCACGAAGAAGTGAATGGGCGCAATTTAGAGAGAGAGCGACTTTAGCCTGACGACAACAGTCCGCGGTGGTCGCTGGCTTGCGATTCTCGAGCAGATCACATGAAATTCCTGTGTGCCTTATGCACTCCGCCAGCGAGCGACAAGAGTCTCACTCGACGAGGACATAAATCGCACTCGACCACTCTCCTTCACGGTGTCCCCATCCCGCCCAATTCGCCGCAGATGAGAGGCATGACGGTTTTACATTTGAAACATTGTTGGCCATGCTCACCACACCGAACAGCCCCTTCGCGCATGGAAATTATGCTAATTCATTTATTTATATCACCACAAGAGTTCCATCTTCCAGTCACTGGCCACTATTGGTTGCGCCACAAGAGGATGCAGAGAAATCACACCTCAATGCATTTGCACACGCCAAAGGACTCTCTCAGTGATAATTTAGATACAAAGCAATTTTAAAGTTTTACTGTTCTTTTATCTCCTCGTTCGGCTATTCAGGTTATTTTATAATAAAACCCAATTAACATGAATAAAATATGTTATCTGTGACTGTGGCGGGGAAATATTTTAGCTATTCAACCAATAAAGTACTTAACTTCAATGGAATCTCACTCTCTGCAAGCTTGAGAGTAAATTGTGAGATGTGAACAATGAATTTGTAATGTGTTATCCATTGAGTGTATCAATTAGAGGCAAAAAGGGAAGATAAAAGTTACATTTGTAAATTCCATCGGGGATTTTTTTTCTGCAATGATCATCAAAACAGAACTTGTGCAAATGGATTGTCTTCTTCTCAAGTCTTTGTCTCGTAAAACTGCGGATTATGCTTAAGATAATTAACCTAACAGCCTCTGCGCGATATTTACTGCAAAACAGTCTCGCCAGGCTTGTTAAATAAAATCAATTGCAAGGTGAAATGCAATCGACACGTTTCACTGCATCTCTAAAATGAGAAGTCATTTTAATTGCAAATCTAATATCTATAATAAAAATACATATAATATCTCAATTTAGAAGAAAATTATCGTGCGTAATCAGATAGTGTGCAATAAATTACAGTTTATGACTGCAATAAAAAAAATCTTATAAATATCGATTACGCAGTGTGTGAATTAGGAGCATTCTTTCCACACATGAGGCCAAAAGGTATCATTAAGCGGGGATCTAAAGATAAAGTCGTAGAATCTGTTCCGTTGAGCCCA